AAACAAAGTTGCCAAAACTTTTTTTGATACAAAAACTAAAATTATTAAAATGGATAAGACGAAAATATAGTTTAAAGACATATTGATGCTACTTATCACCCTTCGGAGTGAAAGATGTAACTTTTTTCTTGAAAATTGATATTTGTGAATCAAGAGTTGAGTTTGCAAAACTGAAAATTTGCTAACAATATTGAAATTCCTATTATAGCGGGAACAACGTTTACCAATCGCTCAACTTTATTGCTAAAATTCACGTTCTGTAAAGAATATGTTTCGAGTGCTCTGCTCAACTTATGGTCAACATAATCGGCTTACTGAGCGTGCTAGTAGCAACACCACCATTCATCTTGAGACCCATCTTTGATTATGGGATAACATTTGAACGAATAGACAACTTACAACACGCAGTGAAGAAAATATAGCAGCCGAAGCTGAGAGTGTAAACGAAGACCGTGGTGAGTCGATTCGTCGCCGTTCCCAACAACTCAGGTTGACGTATAGAACGATTTGGCGCATTTTATCTTATCTTAAGATCTCAATTTGAAAGCATACAAAATACTACTTATACAAGAACTGAAGCCGCTCGATCTTCTTAAGCGACATCGTTTCAATCTATGGGCCCTTGAAAAGTTCCAAGAAGATCCGACTTTTTAGAGTCAAATTCTCTTTAGCTATGAAACACATTTCTGGCTCAAAGAGCAATGAAAAAAGCAAAATTACTGTATTTGAGAAGGAGAGCAACCTGAAGAGATTCAAGAGCTGTCATTTCATAGAGAAAAAATCATCGGCCCATATTTTTTAAAAATGATGTCGGTGAGAACGTAACCGTCAGTGGCAACCATTATTACGCCATGATCACCGAATATTTGATGCGTGAAATTGAAGGTCGTGATCGTGCCGACATTTGAAGACGAGGCTACTTTCCATATATCGCACTTCGGTGAGCAGATAATTTCACATTTTTTCAGGCCTGAGCGCAAAACATCACGTGTGTCATTCGCCTGTTATCAGTCGAATTGCTCGAACGAGTCATTGAAAATTGGACTCAACGGTTGGCCTGTTTGAGCCGTAGCCGTGGCCAATTTTTAAAAAAGATAATGTCAAGGAATTTTCTTTCGAATGCTAATAAACATTATCCTTTAGATTTGAGGTTTCTGTGTTTTTTCTTTAAAAAAAAATAGAGAGCCTTGAAATTGATCACTCTTTACTATACAGTTGTGTGTATGTTAAAAAGCTTCAACGAGTGTTCCGAATCTAACACAATCAAAGTATCTCTAGTATTTCATCCTTCAACTGTAGAGTGTCCTATCAGTCGTAGAAACTCGAGTTACTGAACAGCTTAGCAATTATTTTTAAATATGTTTTCTATTTATGGAAATTAATTATTAATGTTTGTTGAAGTAAGAAATAAGGAAATGCTTGTGAGAAAGTCTTCTATTTTTGTTTTTTTTTTAATTTCGAGTAATAATTTATAAATATTATTTTTCAACGGAGAAATAATTTAAGAGCCAACAGATAATAATACTTGTATATATTCAAATATGCTTTTGTTTTCATTTTCCTTTAGCTATTTTATCAATACTATTCTATATTTGTTTTTGACTGAAAGAATCACTTTAATTCAGTGCCCACCTGAGACTTCCCGTAGCGGAAGTAGATATTGTTTACATTCTTCTATATAAATAAAGAACTGAAACAATGCAATTTCAACAATGAAAATTGTAGTTTTGAACAAAACTCATTACACGGCAATTGACTAGTTATACTTTAGCAATGAAAAGGCAATTCGATTTTTATTTACTGTTGAATTTAGCATTAATTTGCAATTGAATGAATGACGGGACACACGGGACAAATATCGACAAAGTTTGCACAGAGACTAAAAGACAATTGTTGGCATGTGGACACCCTTTGGCGTGCGCACAGTATGCAAACAGTTCGATTTTGCTATTTTATGAGCGCAAATACACACATACATATAAATATGTGTGTGGCATAGGTGAGCCTGTGGGCATGTCCGTTAAACCAAAACATGCTAAACTGCGGCCTGTAGTCAGTGAGGCACAAATGAAGTGCCGCAACGAATTTGGCCAAATACTTATGTCCGTATGGATCTTTGTATGTATGTATGCGTATATGTATGTACGTCCGACGCTGGAGGTGAAGTTGAAGGCGAGAAGTTTGAGGTTGACGCTGATGCCATTCGTTGATATTGACACTGATCATGCTGGCCACAGCTGTGTGGCACAGTTTGCGGTTCTTCATTGCTGTTTATCCATTTTCCCCAGCATAAAAATACAAAAACAAAATCAATCACATAGAAAATATGTAGTTGCCAGGTGTGCGAGCAAGTCATTTCTAATGGCACCTTAATTCCACCTAAGGGAGTTGTCAACTTAATTTCCGAGGAAATGAAAACTAAATTAGGCGCATTCGCAAGCGTTTTGCGGTTGATTTGCGCATGGCAAGCTGGAGTGTAGTAAAATTTTTCCATTTTTCATTTTATGACAACAAACAAATATGTGTGCACTCGTAAATGCCAACCGCATCCAGAGTATGGGTAGCGAGAACATTAGAATTGGAAAAGTGCATATGCCCATATATATCTATACATACTAATATATATGTACAGACATACATGCAACGTGTAATGCAAGTTGTTCTTTGTCACCGTCTGCCAAACGTTCTTTCTACATACATCCATACATACATATATGTATGTAAGTACCAGCACATCGTTGGCACGCATGCGCCGATACGCCGCGTACGTGGTTTGAATTACTACATAAGTGCTACGCCTGCGCGCATGCTGGCGTCGCAAAACTATTTGTTATTGGCGCGCGTTTACCACGGGCGTGATGCCATCCTGCCACTTCAACGCTGATAGGCAGCAGCTGCTCTGAGAATGCATAAAATTTGCTTGCTGTCATATCTCAATAGGTTAAAGGCGCACGCGTCTGCAGCACGTCAGCACTGTAGTAGCGCGTTAAATTGTTGCTGCCGCAACTGCCACACTAGCACTTAACTATGCACTTTTAGTTTCGCTTTATCGCTTTTTACCATATTTTACTTATTAATCGAAAATAAATTTTAATTTACACAAAAAATCATGAATATTGCATATTAAAAAGCTGCTTGTCTTTACCCTGGTAAAAAATATCCTTTTTCATAAACTTTTTTTTTCTTTTATAAAAAAAATATTTTTTTTTGAATTTTTTTACTGTTACAAACGTATACTATTAACAACGAGTTTCTGAAATTTTTGGAAAAAAATTATTTTATTTTTTTAAATTATTTTTGAAAAAATGTACTGATGCCCTAACGAGGCATATGCCATAAACGTAAAGTGTTAAATTACAAAGGGATTTCATTTTAAATGTATTATTAATGTTTATCGTTTGCTGACTGCCAGCAAACATTCAAACCTTCTTTAAGAATCTCCAATACTCCTTCTACTTTCAATGAATTACAAAAATGTCGATTTTCTTCTTACACATACATATGTATACTACATATAATATATCGAATGTACGATATGTAGGTAGATTTGAAAAAATGCTGCCTATTTGTAAAAATTTATGATCGCTTCCCAAACCTTTAGGAAGTTTTCAGTGTCGGTAAGGAAAACTTCTGCGCAACATTTGGGCTTATTGGGCTTCAAATTTTCTCACGAAATTCCTAAAAATATTTTGCAAATGAAATGAACAATTGAGGAAAAATATTTCAATTTTTTCGATTTTTTAAGACACTTTGAAATATCAATTCTTTAAAAAAAAAAAAAAAAAAAAAAAAAAAAAAAAAAAAAAAAAAAAAAAAAAAAAAATGATTTTTTGATCTTTTGCACAATAATAATATAGCTATAATACCCTCCACAAATAAAAAAAATTCCTTAGAAGTACAAATCGGATCAAAAGATCGGTTGTATGCCAGGTGTATGCTATACTGACTCGATCTGACTCTTCAAAAATTGCATTTTGCCAAATTTCGTGAAGATATCTCTTGAAAGAAAAATTTTTCCATAAGCTAAATTAACTTTCACGGGTCGGACGGAAAACCTTACGTTTAGAAGAAGTCATCAAACACTTATGAGCCGCGATCTCAACCCAACACTCAAATTGGGAGACAAAAAGGTCTTTTTTTTTTGGGCGTTTTTGCAAAAGCGTGTCTTGGGATCTAGTTTTAAGCGAAGGAAATATGGATGCGAATAATAGACATATTAAGAGGAAGAGTATTTTTCTCCGTGGGAGAAATTGGATTTGGACAATAGCAAAATTATTCTGACGCAAGGCAATGGCCCTAAGCACAAAGATAAGAGAACTATAGAGTATCTGAGAAGCCAACGAATTGGAACATCGGAATGGCCTACTCAAAGCCTAGATATTAAGCCTATCGAGAACTTGTGGTTTTTTTAAAAATAATTGTACAATATCATGCCAGTCCACCGGAAACAAATGCGAAATGTTTTACTAGATGTGTAGAAATATGGAACTTCATCACTAAAACAGAATGTAGAGATTGAGTCAATAGCATTCCACAGCGGATTGAAGCGGTGATTGCTGCCAAAGGCGCCTCCTACTACTACTAAATATTAAAGCGGTAAAAATTAAATAAACTTTTTTTACTCTTTTGTTGTTTTCTATTATAGAATGAATTGAATAATTTGAAGGAACTGTAATTCAATTCGCCCAAGTTAAATACACATTTTTTATAAGAATCGTCATGTCTTATTTTATTGCAAACGTTATATATTTCAAAGATCATTCCGTAATATTGCTTTCCAATTCGAATTTTTTCAAATACAATGATTAAAGCTTCAATTTTGTATCAGTGTGTTAAAAAATATTTATGTTAAGCGTTTGTAATATTTTTCGATTTTTAGCCTTCAAAAAATTTGTTTTGCTCATTTCATAATGCTTTTGGAATTTGTAGAATTTATAAAGGCTATATGTACACAAATTTACAAATCTATATACTAAATATAAAAACCAAAGGAGACTTACCTTATAAAAACAAACTACTCATCCAGCAGCTCATCAAAATTCTCATCAGTTCTCACACTAAATTGCATTTCAAAACACCTGAAAATAATAAAAAAAAAAATAATAATATTAAATAAATACGCTTTGTTTCTTTTTGAAATGCGTGAAATTTGTGCAAACAAAAATTTCTGATAAGTTAATTGAAAAAATTAAGGCGTGACTGATTTGCACACAAAAACTAACTGACATGTTTTTACAGCTCCCAACAAAGGAGACAATGGGAATTTAGCTCAAATTTAAATTAACCTTTTCACTCAATCGAGCAGCCAACACAATTGCTGGGAACTAATGCGCACAGTGGTGGGTCTTGAAGAGGTCATTCAATGGTAATCCTTTCGCCTACACATTTCTCGCGCCAAATCTTCAACAAAATGCAGAGCAGACTATTCTTCTTTGTATTTCGTAAAAGAGAATCACATTCGTTATAGTTAGCAATAAAATTTTGTGCATTCAATTTGAATTGGTCTTTAGGAAAAAACAAATTTATATAAATGTTTTTAAAAAATGAAAAATCCCAGATCTGCACTTTAATCCGCAGTGGGAAAATCACGAAGCAATATTCATACATATGTACATAGCCTCAAATATACATTTATACAACTACAGCTACGTGTGCTCGCCGCGCATGCGCTGGATTAGTTAGCTAGCCGTTTGTCTATAAGACACAATTTTTCCTTTTGCTCTACATTTTTTCTGCTAACACGCACATACAACTATACACTTTTGAATATAAAGGTACTTTACCTTCATATCCTTGTTTTCCAACAAAAGCAACAGCCACGTGAAAAAACAAAGCATTAAAATTAATGTGCATCCTTATGCAGAGCAGGACCACCCGCAATTCGGTGTTCCCAAATAAGTATAAATATTTTTTCCAATTTAGTATTTTTTTTCTTTTTTTTTTTTAAAGAATGTGCGGGATTATTCCCTTAATTGGAGCATCTAACCATTTAGTGCAGCCTGCTTTACATATCCTACACTTTCTAGACAGTTTCCATTCCGTAAATTGTTTAATCATCGTTCGATTTCGATCGCGTCGGTGCCATCAAAGTGCCGTCGCTCAACTTTTATCGGCGCGAAGGCGTTAGAAACAGCAGTCTTATCTTGATCGCGACAGTTTTGTGCTGCTCCCGTTTTTTCTTCCCATGCAGGCGGCATGTACATATCTTCACTCTTTTCTGCTTGGTAGTTTAGCTTAGAAATTCATTTGTGTTCCAACACGTTTGAACCGCCTGCGGTCTGTAATAATATAATTAAGTGTCGCACTTCGATAAAAAAAATACACCAGCTGAACAAAATATGCAGACAGGCAGAATGCTTGAATTGATTACTACTGGATTAAAATATTATTTTTTTGTTTAATTACACTGCGAAAAATTAAATGTATTATCCTTTAGGAAGTAAGTGGAGATTGGAAAAAGTCAATACAGAATTATATGTACATATGTATTAGGATATCTAATCATTCATTACAACTAGTTCTTTTACATATTTCTTTATATATTAAGTCTATAGAACTGGTGAATAATTCGTGTTTCGGTACAACATGCAATGAACCCCTCCTTGATCCTTAAACAAGCAACCAGCCACACAGCGAATGTCACAATCGATCTATTGAAAATCAAGTTTTGTGAAAGCCAGCAATGATTGAGGAACTTCCTACGAATGTCGAAAGGGAAATTGTAGCAGTATGGAACGACTTATAATTGAAAACCGTCGAAAATTGGGTTCACTTAAAAAATTTGTTCAAATGGAAGAAGTGCTCTTCAATTGAAAAGACCAGGTTTTCCTGTAAGAGCTGTAGGTATCTAATTTCGTAAACATTTCCATCAACCAAGGCCAACTTTCCAATGCCATGTCCCGTTTTTTCGTCCGCTACTTTATATAGTATATCACCTAAATTCTCCTCTTTATGATTAAATTTAGCAAATTTAAAAATTCCTAACTTGCTAAAGAGATCTGCATCTACATTTATTGTAACAGTTGGCTTTAGTATAGAGAAATGATGTAAGATTTGATTCCGAGCAACGATGAGTGAACTCTGGAAATATTCACATTTGGGGAGGGGCAAGCCGCTTGGTCATGAATGCAATCATTTTATCTCGATAACCTGGCGATAGAAAAATGTTTGTATTGTTCTGGTATCCAATATATACCAGATAATATTTATTCCAATATAAAAGTTATTTAACTCGAAAAATTTTATATAATTTTCCGACTATATTGAAGTTGAGGAAAAAATGCGAGTGAGTCTATAGTAGCTGGTTGAAGAAGATTGAAGAGTTCTCCTTTGGTTAAGACATTACAGACTCACTGCTCATAAACAAATTAATAGGATAAATTATATCATTATCATTAAATCAAAGCTTAGTTTAAGAAATGTACTATTTGCGAGACAACCTGTTGCTATTTACAAGATGTCGACAGGTCTTTGGTAAACAATAGCATCAATGATTTTCAAACAAGATGTCGATGGACATTAATTAATGTGCTCTCACTCATTAGCTCCTGAATACCTCAAAAAATAAACATATCTTAGGAAAAAAATACTAAATAAAATTTTGTATAAAATGAACTGAATAACTGTAATTACTTATAAATAAACAGGATGTTGTTATAGGTACAGTATTTTCATAAAGACTTACTTCTCAAACCAGCTGTCAAATTAACACATTTATTGGACATTTACAGCGGTATATGGAATTCAGAGACAAGACCAGTTTAAACACTGAAGCTGTAGTCAACGCTATCGAAGGAATGAGTATAACAGAATATTAGGTTGTCAAAAAAAGTCTTGCGGTTTTTCGCTAGTTGGCGCTGAGAGCGCGTAGTTCTAGTTTTATTCGTCGCATCGGGTCATGCTATACCTTTTTGGAAAGCTCATTTCACGCGCTAACACGTKTTTGATTGATTGYMRTTWCTTYWWAGTCGTTCGTRARTTATAGCGTCGCAAACATGGAGCAAAATAAAGAGAAAATACGGCATATTTTACGGTACTACCACGATAAAGGCAAAAATGCATCTCAAGCCGCCAATAAAATTTGTGCAGTTTATGGACCCGATACAGTTTCCATTTCCACCGCACAACGATGGTTGCAACGTTTTCGTTCTGGTGTAAAGGTGGTCGAAGATGCGCCACGCTCCGGTAGGCCTGTCGTCGAAAATTGCGATAAAATCGCTGAATTGGTCGAAAGAGACCGGCATAGTAGCAGCCGTAGTATCAGTCAAGAGCTGGGCATGAGTCATCAAAAAAAAAAAAATTTTATGAACAATTGCAAATTCAATAAAAATACTGCAAGACTTTTTTGACAACCTATTACATATTTTCGTTCCCTACATCAATACCTATCGTTAAAGTGTTTAATAGTTTCAACAGACCGGTATAAGTTGCATGAAATTATTCGTTCATTGGAACGATATTTTTTTTTTTTTTTTTAATTTCAGAATTTATTTGTTGATAGTGTATGTGATAACAATAACAACAAATAAAATATTTAATTTTTTATATGAGTAAATAGTTGTTGTAATCCCTTAAATAAAGCTGGGTTCAAAACGAAGCGCAGGTGATTTCGAAGTTCGAGTTAACTCAAAGAGTAGCTTATTCACCGAATTTGCATTTGCGAAACGCACCTAAACTGGAACAGAGTCGATCCACCATTAGAGTGGAAGGTTGCTGGTAATACAAAATGATTCACTTATGGCATAGTCAAGGCAGTACGATCGTGGTCGAATCGCTGTGATCCAAATGGATCGCAAATGGTGGCTAAGCAAGGATAACGGGCAGCTGGTTTTGCTATGTGTTTGTTGGATTTGGCAGGAAGTCATCTTATATAAGCGGGTATCAGCTCTTAATTTTAACTTATACTGGCAACAGTTGTACCGTCTAATCACCCAGAGCCAACTAACTTTGACTAATAGAAAAAGAATTATGTTATTTTAGGACAATGCCAAACCACAAATGTATCTTGATATTGACTCGCCAAAAGCTCAGGGACTATCTTATGCACACACCCTATTGTTCGAATATGACCTCAATACTCGAATTTGCTACTTCGTCTCTACTTACGAAAATCGATTGTCTCAGGTTTAGCCAGTAAGGACGAGGGTTTCTATGAGAGTGACCTTACAAATAAACTTTCAAAACGGTAATATACACCAAACAGTGTATATTTTGCCCAAAATGACTCATTCCAACTGTGAAAGTAAACCTTCAATTAGTGCAAAAATTATTGATTTCTTTATATTGGACCTTATATTATGGAAAGCACCATTCAAACTAGCATTTTCTGTAAGGTACATATATTATTTCCAGTGCACAACCAATTGGACACAATAATAATAAACTCACTTTTCAAATTCAAGATTAGCAAAGTAAATGCAAAATATGCGCAAGCCTGATAAAGGAAATAATACTGCATAAGTATATAAAAAATATACATATACCATATGTATGTATGTCTGCATATAAATAATGGTCAATTGGTGTTGACTGTTAGGCCAATCTGCCAATTTGCCTGCCAACTACAAATAAATCCGACTACTGCAGCGGCATGCGGCGCAACAATCATAAAGTGAGCAGGCAAATTAGGAAGGAATTGGCGCGGAATTCTCAAGTTGCGTACCGCTGCGTTTTCGTCTGCGCGACAATCAAAGAGGCAAATCAGCGAGAAGTTAACGACAATTGGTTTAATTCAAATTGGCTGCCGAATTTTTGTGCATAAAATGTGAGAAAAGTAAATCAATTCCAGCAAATTGGATTATTGTTTACGTGCAATGGCGTGAAATGTGACAGTTGGCTAATTTTTGCGCGAGCACATTTGTTGCGCTTTCGACACAAAGTGGCGTAGCAGATCTTGCAACATGTGTGCGAATTGGTTTTGGAGGCGGTTGCGGTTGGTAAGTGATACGGGGCACTTGAGAGGGTGTTGAAAGGCTTCAGGGAAATTCTTATTTGTTTTATGGGGAAAAATATAAGCCGTACAAAAACATGAAAAACAACAGTAGTTCACAAAATGCATGTAAATAGTAAAGAAAATATT